AAGAGTATAGTGAAAATGCCACAGTGAATATGCACTGAAGTTAGGAGTGTGACTCTAGAGAAAGATGAAGACAGAATCAGGAAGAGATACTCAGTGGGGGAGTCTCAGTAGATGACATCTAATGTACTAAACAAAAATTGCAGCAAACAAGGCAGAATGAAGATATAAGCTAAGTGGAGGAGAATAGGAAAAGAGTGGATAAATAATGAACAATGCATAGGAACAGATAAGAGAATTGTTTAAAGGGAATTTATGATTAGACATAGGTAGGACAACAGTCTGGAACAAGTGATGCATTACAAAGTGGACTGGGGGAGGGGAAGAAGAGAGGGAGAGAGAAGAATGTGCAAAAATGAATGAATAAAAATTAAAAAAAAAAACACACCCCAAATAAAAATGATGATTAAGCATAGATTTAAAGTGTGGGTTCTAGAAGTTTGGTAAATACCCTTCTTCCTTTGCTATAACTTTACCCCCTCATCTTTCAATCATCTTTTGTAACCGGACTATTGCTTTGTCAGGAATTACTACTACATTCTAGCAGCTAAAGACAGAAAGATAAAAAATGAGCACATACCGTGACACTCAAATTGTCTAAAGTGAGTGGAAAACCTAAATTGTACGAAGATGGCGCCTAAAATAAAGAAGGAAGCCCCTGCCCCTCCCAAAACTGAAGCCAAACCAAAGGCATTTAAAGGCCAAGAAGGCATCCTGAAGGGCATCCACAGCTGGAAAAAAAAAAAAGATCCATACGCCACCCACCTTCCAGCGGCCTAAGACGCTGAGACTCCAAAGACAGCCCAAATACCCCCGGAAGAGCGCCCCCAGGAGAAACAAGCTTGACCAATATGCCATCCTCAAATTTCCCGTGACCACTGAGTCAGCCATGAAGAATATAGAAGATAATAACACACTGTGTTCACTGCGGATGTCAAGGCCAACAAGCACCAAATTAAACAAGCTGTAAGAAGCTCTACGACAGGGATGTGGCCAAGGTCAAGACTTTGATTAGGTCTGATGGAGAGAAGGCAGCCCATGTTTGACTGGCCCCTGACTATGATACTTTGGATGTTGCCAACAAAACTGAGAACATCTAAACTGAGTCCAGCTGGCTAATTCTAAATACAAATTTTTCTCACCAAAAACAAAATAAAACCTACTTTGTAATAAATTATAAATAATGCTGTGGCGGGGAGGGGGGAGAAGAGGTGGCTAAAGACGAAAGAAAAGAGAATCTTACTTCTCATTATTAACATAGGTAGCATGAAGGGACATTGTTCACAATGTCTTCCACACTCACCAACTTTGACTCTCACCACATGAATGGGAAGAGTGTGTGTATAAACTAATCAATATGGATTGGTCTATTTCCCCCATTCCACTGATAAACTGAGTGCATTTAGCAGCAAAGGTGGGAATCTCACTACCAGAAAGGAAGAGAAAGAAGAAAGTGCAGTGTACATCCTTCCGGGCTGGAGATTCCTGTGTCAGTCAGACTGCGATCTACATGAGAAGAGCAGTAGCCTCAGCAGAGAACCAGACACCAACACGCGCCAGAGCTGACTTGGGACAGCTGTCCCATGGAGCCAGAGCCAGGAGCCTTTGCTCAAGCTTCTTGGAGGTCTGAGGGAAAACACTGTTCACTGAAAGAACTATGGGAACTCTGGAACACTGACCAAAGCCATGAGACTGAAGATCAAAGTGCCTGAAAGCACACCTGATAAGCTGTCTGGACAGAGGTAGCATACCCTTAATAAGATGACTGAACAAAGGAATTGTACACTTGATAAGCTGCCTGGACAGAGGAACTGTATCCTGCTGCCAACCTGAATTGTAACCTGCTAACCTCCCTAATAACTCCCACAACCACACGTACGATTATATGAGACACATGTAGTCACTGCAACAGATTTCAGACCCAGCAGAGCAGGGAGACTGGAGTTGGGATTAGTAAAAGTACATGCAGGAGTGTGGAAAACCATGTCTAACTATAGAGGAATTGGTTTTGTACCATGATGTAGTCGATGGAGACGGTCCTCATTTGTGGCATTACAAGAGGTCAGATACAGCCATCTCCATGATGCCTATGCTCCTTTCAACAACGTAGTTAACTCTCAACTAACGGTAAAGGTCGCGTGAATTTTGTTTCAATTTCTCTTAAATCCAATAAAGATTAAGAGAAAATGTTTAAAGATAAAAAACTGAGGAGAGAGTGAAAATTTGAACGTCATGGTAGGGATCATACTTTTTCTACTTATGAGTTTAATTTTCAATTGAACTAAATGTCCAACAGAACAAGGCTGAGGTAACAGGCTTCAGTAACTTGAAAATACCTCACATTTAATATTTCCTATCACATTCCATAAAAAAAGTTCCCACTTCACATGGTGAGCCTGATATGAAGTTTAGATAAGAAGTTTAACTAAAATGGAGAACATACGTTTTCCTTCCTACCTTTGTAAAATGAGGGCTGCCAATGAACTGCATTTACCCAGTTTTCATGACCAGCTAGTACAGTCTCCAGAGTAACAGCAAATTCTATTTTAGCACCTATAACAAAAGCAATGGATATATTTAAAGCTCTTCCAAACTACATATTTATAACTGACTCAAATGTGGAAAATGGGTCAAAAAAAAAAGAAAGGAGAACAAAATGATAGCTAAGATCTAACAAAAGAACAATACACTCTAAAACGTCATTAACTTTTATCTGCTTTTCAAAGTTACAAGAGAGGGGGAAAAATCCTGTGAAAAAGGTAAATGTTCCTATATCGGGTATAATAAATAAGCATTAAGGAATATGTTTTATTTTCCTAGGACAGCTACTATTATACAAGTAAAATCACATATACTCTTGAAGTTATCTTTAGGAAAGATTTATGACTTAGGAAACCCTCTGGGGCAGTTTCACTCTGTCCTACATGGCTGCCAGGCCTTGGAACTGGCTCAACAGAGAGTTTATCTTGGTACTAACTTCCTTTTATCATTAACTTCTCAAAAAGCATTAGAAAAACAATGTACAACACAATTTCTTTCATGTAGAATTATTCACATATACAACTAGGTCTGGAACAACATTCATCAAAATAAAAATGTTACAGCTTGTGATTTTGTATCACTTTATCTTTTTCTGCATTTAACTCCTTTACACAGTCTATTTATTTTCCTTTAAACCATAAACTTATTAAAAAGATGTTTTTCTTTCTTTTTTTCTTATCTTTGTATGTGTGTACTGTCAAATCAGATCTGACTGGTACAGGAGGGATTGTCCCTCCTTCTCCAGTGGAACATCTGGTGTATTTGAACTGTGTGCCGTCAGGACTGCAGTGCAGCTTCTTGCCACTAGGCCACCAGAGCTCCCTAAAAAGATAACTTTTCAGTTTCAACCATTAGAGAACTTATACATACACACACACACACACACACACATACACATTTATATACAGCTCAGTCCAGGAAAAACAATCTAAAGTTCACTAGTTTAAAAAAAATGCTCATCATTAAAGTACTCATACCCCTCACTACACAGCTTAGATTCCTTTTCTCTTATAAGAGGTTAAGTTTCTTTTATTATCCTCATTATCAGTGTAAAAGTCTAAACACAAAAAAGTGTAAGATAAGTATATAAATAGTAGAAACTATATCAGTATTTTTCACCTTTCAAATGACGTAATTAATGAAAGAGAAGATTCCTACTTGAACACAGCCGCTTACAGAGTGCTGTCCTGATACCTCTCTAGAACTACAGCGGGAACTAGAGTCAAGAAGAGGCAAACAAGGGTCAACTACGGGTCAGTTCAAACTCGCCAGTACACAACAACAACAACATTCAAAAATAAAGGGAGGCAATGTTTAGTTGATTGGACACCTTTTAAGGTTCTTTTTCATGTACTTATTGAGCCAATGTCCCTTCTAAATAGGACTGATAAATTTGCAGACATTCCAAGAACGAGCGTGTGAGGCACACAAACTCCCGTCTTCTCCTGGACTTCTTCCTAGTGCTCTGGACTTTTATGATGTCACTGAAGTAGAATTCCTTTTGGCTGGAAACTGTTCAGTATATCATTGCATTTGTGTCACTCACCCTTGGAAATAAGCCCCCACTTCCCCTCCAGCGTCATCATGTTAAATACAAGTAGCTTTTTAAAAGTAAACTTTTTACTTTTTTATTTAATAAAGCTTTTACATGAATAGTAAAAAAAAAAAAAAGAAGAAGAGGCAAACAGAACAGTTTACCTGAGTGACAATGGTCACTGAGAAGTGAATTTTGAATTTAGATGAGTAACTGAAAATATCTCCTTCAAACACTGTGTTGTTTTGGTGAATTGTTCTAATCCCAGATGATAAAAAGATAAGAATTACATATGGGTAATTCATATTACATCTTCTGTCTTTATAAGATTAAAAGGATTTCAAAATGTTATATGGAAAAAAAAGACAGGCAAGGTGTTCTCAATACTAAAAATGAAAGCCTGTTCACATTTAAAAAATTAATTTCGTGAGAGAACATTACACAGTATTTCCAGAAATATTTAAAAAAATCTAAAAGAAAGCTTCATAAGAGAAAATGACTCCGCACAGAAAATAAAACGTTAAAACAATTTATATTATCAGATTTAAATAGGGAGCTGACACTGTGATAAAAACGAACCTTAACATAGCTGTTTGTTGAAACAGAGAATATCATTTGGCTAAGAGATTCAAGTATGGTTATATCAAATATTTTCATCTTTACTCACTCTCATTTTCTATAGTAAAAGTATTTTCTTTCAATCTTATACAATCATCATCGTTCGTTTCTGAAGATGCCGATTTTACATACAGCTTCCATACTCTTATCAGGCAATCTTGTGAACAGCTTGCGAGGAAAAGATCTCCACCTAAACGTAAAACAAAATTTCATACTTCAAGGCATTTTATTCTTAAATCTAGGCACAGAATTTTCTCTTTTACAATCTACACATTTATAGGTATCCCCAAGTAATTAGCAACTGCTTCTTTATGCATCACACTATGACCTATGCTCATTTCTGGTAACAGTAATTTAAACATACACATGCATTGTCAAAAAATGTTTATAATCCATGGTACTCATCTATGCAAAGTTTCACACTAACCGAAGACTGCCCATTCCACGCCTCTTATCCAGTCCTCATGTCCAGACAGAGAAAGCACTTTCTGAAACTAGTAAGATAAGAAAAATCATCAGGCTTGATATGAAAATGTAATGCGGGCAAGCGTATTATTATTATTATCATTATTATCAATGACTGGTTTCAACTGGCCCTACTGCAGTGATTTTTAGTGGGAACTCTAGGTGATTAAACAGGATACTCAACTGGGAATGAAAAACTCGGTAATACAGGTATCCCCTGCTTTTCATAAGTTAACTTTCCACCACTTCACATTTATAAAAGATCTACATTAGGATCTATTTCCACTGCCTGAAAGAAATTCAAAGAGGATTATTTTCCCCCCTTGTTGTGTACTGTTGAAGGGGATCTGACAGGCATAGGACGAGATTGATTCTCCTTCTCCAGCGGAGCATCTGGTGGATTTGAACCACGTGCAGCTCAGCTTCATGCCACTAGGCCACCAGAGCGCTCTTGGTTTTGCTTGGTTTTCTTTTATGAATAAAAAAGTGAAAGTATGGTTTAGCATTTGTTTTGTGGTTTGTTATTAAAGAGACAGTACACATGGAAGAGTGAAAGTGGTACTGCCAAACTCCTTCCCCAGTGTCTCAGAATCAAGCTGCCACAGCCTGGAACTGTGTGAACATGAACATCTATGTTGCTAAGCAACTCTGAGAAGACACTATAAAATCCATACATCATCAATACTCTCTAAATGCCTACAAGGTAAAATGACACACCAAGGACATGATTTGGAGAAAGAAAAAAAAAAGGATTGGGCACTTTCACATTTTTAACTTTCTTAAAGAATGGAAAAAAGTAATTTCATTAGTAACAAATGAGCTTGGAGTTAAGAAGCCCCTTTCCTGTCATAAATGTATCCCTATTTTGTTTAACCACTTCAAGTATTAAAAGTTCAGAAAGGCAAGTGAACACTATCAGGTAGCACCTCTCCATAGTTTATTTAAAAAAACAGAACAACAACAACAACAACAATAAATCTAAAAACAAACGACCAGATCCACTGCTTTCCAACCACACCAAACACACTGCTATACGCACTTCTCTCATGGAACAGCTAGAGTTTCAAACGGTCAACCTATCAGTTAGTAGCTAAGAACCACATGGATTCTTGACTATATCACATTGTATTTAAAAAAGTTAAGTGTTCTCAAGCAGGAGTGGCATCCACTTCCTAAACAAGATGCCTCTGGAAACTCTATGAACTTTGATAAATGACGATAGTTATAGAAAGGCTTTAGGCCTTTTTTTAACAGATTGCTATGAGTTGTGCTCAACTCAAAGACAGTCAACAACAACTCAAGGTATACTTTATCATAAGAATATTATAGTTCATATAAAAATTTAAAAGAAAAAAAAACCAAACAACTGCCCACATGGTCTCTTCCCCCTCTTCTCTACTTCATGACCTTTTCCTTCAAAATAACTGTGGGTCTGATGGTATAAGCACCAGTTATAGAATACTCAGATAGAATGGGCTATTATCTATCAGAGCACTATCAAAACAGGCAGGGAGGCTGAGGGTGGGGAGGTGGGAAATCACAGTTTGCAGAGTTTGGTGGGTGGAGGGAAGGGGAAATAAAGAAAACAATGTACATGAATGAACCACAATATAAGCAAATTATGGTATGCAGACTAATAAAAAAATTGTTTAAAAGAAGATTCTCAGGGAGCTCTGGTGGCACAGTGGTAAAAAGCTGCACTGTAATCTCAGAGGTTTGCGGTTCGAATTCACCAGATGCTCTGCTGGAGAAGGAAGGGCAATCTCTTCCTGGACCAGTAAGTTCTGATTTGATGGTACACACACAAAGGAATAATAAAATAAAATGAAAACTTAATTTAAAAAAAATTCTCCTATTAATTACTCCATTGAGATTAGAAAATCCCTTAAGATTTTGTCTTCTGGAAGTAGTCCAAATTAAGATATGTAGTTAATAACATAATTCTAGTTTATTAAGCATAATTAGTTACCTGCTTATTCTGTTGAACAAATAAGTGAATTTTGCAGTCCTCATCACCGCATGCCAATATCGGTACTAAGGGAAAAAGAGGTGTCTCTGTAAGTATCCCATCATTTGCCATGACTTACCTCTACTGGCATAGAAGCCTGACTTCTATTTCCCATTCCATTGAGGAAAAAAATTGTGTTCCTGAATAAATATCTAAAAAGGTATAAAATCAACAGGTTACCTGGCAAAGAATGACTGAGGATCCTTTCCTCATTCTACACTGTTTACAACAAAAGGAGTAGTAGAAAAGGCACTTGAAGGGAGGTCTGGAGAGTATTTACACTGTGTAAGCCAGAGCCCAAGGCAAAAGGCTGCTAGCCAAACTGAGTAATAAAACAAAAGACCAGCATCATAGTTGTACAAAGACTTAAGGGCACATCTGTTACTTGGACAGGGCTCTGGTGGCCTAGTAAGTAGTGAGGGGGCTGCAGTGGCAAACCAGGGTAGGCCGCTTAAATTCACAATTTACTCTGTGGGACAAAGCAAGCAAAGTTCTTTCTGTGCAATTCACAGCCCCTAAAAGCTGCTGGAGGGCCAGCTATGAGTCAGTTCTATTTAAAGGCAATGAGTTTGAGTTTGTAAGTTTGTTACTTGAGGACCTTACTTTATGCCTTAAGATTCAATATAAAAAATCAGAAAGGAATTTAACAACAAAGTAAAAAAGTATATAATTAATTACATGGTTAAAAAAAGGCAGAAAAAGGAAAACTATAAAATTAAGTTTTCTTTAACAAGATAAAACAGCAATTCATAACAGCAAAGGACAGTCCTATTATTAGACTGGAGTACAGATAAAAAAGGGAATTCTTCTTCTGAGGTAAAAAAAAATTAATTTTTAAAATATAATTTAAGTCAACTTTTAAAAAAAGTAGTCCCTTGGCCTCAAGGGAGCTGGAATTTGTTCTGTTACAAACCAGACGGTGGACAGGTTCTCTTTCCAGAGAGGCCTCTTGCACAAAGCAGAAGCAAGTGGAGCAGATCACACTGCAGAGCACTGAAGCTAAGCCTGGTCCTAAACAACTAACTCACAGTGGCTGTCACCATGGTGCAGGATAATTAAAATAGGCACAGAAGAGTTTCAGGGTCAAAGGAAATTTTTCAGTATGGAGATTTTAAGTGGTCTTAGGAGCTCTGTTGGCCTAGTGGTAAAAAGCTGCACTGCAATCCTGAAGGCACGCAGTTCAAGTCCATAGCTGCTCCGTGGCAGAAGGATAAGTAATCTCCTAGCGTGCAATTTACTGCTTCTGAAAACCCGCTGGAGGGTCAGCTATGGATCGTTTCCAACTCAATGGAACACAACAACAACAACAAGGATAACTATCATTGTGTAGGATGCGAAGGGGCTGTGATCTTGACAGAAATGTTTACATCTTCAAATTTTTTTCCCCTTGACAGGAATGCTTACATGATCAACATTTTTTTTTTCTTATAACTTACCTAATTCCTTTATCATCTATAGAATTTAAAAGTTTTTCAAAATTAGATATACACTCAAAATATATTTTATTAAGTCACTTCAATGTTCAACAATTTTTATACTTTCAAATTTTCTATTTTTAAACCATTTAAGTATTGAGTAAAAAGTTATGCTCATTCTCAAATTGTCTCAGAAAAAAACATTTAGATACACCTTTGATACTAACACATTTCTTTTAAATAGACAAATATTTTGTTCTTTTTATACTTAGCACATTACTTACCATCAGTGTTGGGCAAAAAAGATAAGGAGAGAGCCAGAGCAAATCCATCTCCAAACTCCAAAGTCTGAAGACATTTTACTGAGGAAGAACAGAAAACATCATCAATTCCTAGCTCAGCCAGCCAGCTTCCTTACAGCCTGGGGATCAGTAGAGAGGCACAGTGACCCTGAGCTGACAGAAGAAAAATACCTAAGAATTAGCTCTGAGGCAAGGTTTAATGCACATAAACATAAACCCCACTGATGACGTGAATTTAAATGGCCCGTTTATAAAAAGTCACTGTGATCAAAATGACATTTTACACTGCTACATATTCCGTTGCAAAGGAATTCTGAAGACATACAGAAGAAACAGAAATAATTTGGTTAAATTATAGCATTTTACACTTGAAACAGAAAATATTCCCTAAAGTCTTCTTAGAACCAAATAGGTTAATGTAACTAATAAAGAATGTCTAACTTGAGCATTGTTCTCTTTTAAGATATACTCACAAAGGGTCAAACTGAGAACACAATTCAAAAGATTAAAGAGGAATTTTCAGGGGTTGTGAGTTTATATTAAGAGGGAAAGAGCAATTTGGAAAAGAAGAGTTACACAATTTAATGAATGTAATTGTAGAAAAGGCTGAACTGGTTATGTTCTGCTGTGTGTAGTCTCAACAATAAAAAGTAAATTTTACATACACATATTTAGATACACACCGTGTGTGTGTGTATGTGTGTGTGTGCGTGCACAGAATCACAACCTTTATAAAAGCTACTCTTGTTGTTGTGTGCTGTCAACGAGTCAGAACTGACAGCTTACTGTACAGAGGGTTTTCAGAAACTTTAAATTACACAAGAGGAAACTGTTTTTCTTTCTCCTGTGGAGCAGATGGTGGTTTGGAACCATATGCCTTTGGGTTTGCAGCACAACTCCTTACCACTCGGCCACCAGAGCACCCTATAAAACAACTAGGTTTGAGAATTTCACTTGATAATTACTATTTAAATTCACTTGATAATTACTATTTAAATGTCTGTTCTTCTATTTGTTATTCTTGTGATTATACTTTTGTTTGTGTGGGTTATAATTTGTCTTGAAACCTACCTTCTGAATCCTTTTTCAACCAGACGCGAACAGTTGAATCCGAAGCTGCAGAAACTATCAGCGTTTGGAGGGTGGAATCTGAAGCACTCCTCTGGTAAACAGCACACACGGAGTTAACAGGTCCCTCATGGCCTTGGAGGTGGACTGCTCTTAAAAGCTGAACCAGAAGAAGTAATAAAAATCTTCTGATTAAAAAAGAATAGTCAGTTTCATTCTATTTCAAACTCACTACTGTTGAGTCAGAAGCAAGTCATAGTTGATCCTACAACAGGTTTTTAAAGGTTGTAAATCTCATAGGAAGAAATGCCCCCTCTTTCTGTCTCTTGTGGAGCATCTGGTGATACATTCAAACTGCCAGCCTTTGGGCTAGACCACCAGGATTAAGGAGACAGTTAAAATTCCTGAACCCAAAATGGGTCATCTCAACTGAGAGAGATGTAAAATTTCATTCAAGAAAACAATGTAACCATATATACCTTTGTCCCATTACAAAGTGTAACACTACATTACCTTTCTTAACTTCAAAGACTTCTGATAATGCAGTACCTAAAGCACTTGGCTGCTCAACAAAAGGTTGATGGTTCAAGCCACCAGCTGCTCTGAAGGAGGACGACGTAGCAGCCTTCTTCAGAAAAGATTTGAGGCAGTTCTACTCTAGTGGCTAGCAAGTGAAACTGACTCATCGTTGAATTTATCTTTGTACTACCTTCCTTTTATCATTAACTTCTCAAAACACATTAGAAAATATCTTTTATTTTTCCCCCCAGCAGGTTGAGTTGTTAAGACACTCCTTAGTGGATTCAGACTTCCATGGCCACCGTCCTTCTTATAATCTCTTTCATGTATAATTATTCATACATATAACTGAGTCTGGGACAACACTCATCAGAATGTTAACTGCTTGAGATTTCTTATTTCTTTCTTTATACTTTTCTGTACTTAGTTATTTTACACAGTCTATTTATTACCCCTTGTTGTTGATTGCCACTGAGTTGAGCACAACTCATAGTGGCTCTATGAACAAAAGAACTAATGCCTTTCCGTAATTGTCGTCGTTTCTCCAAGTTCATAGTTTCCATAGGCATGTGGTTTAGTTAAGTGGATGCCACTCCTGCTTGAACTCCACCAAACACTGTCCACACTGGGAGACCATTATGGTATTTGATATCCCAATGTCACAAGGTTCAGCACCACAGAAAACCCAGACTACCTCAAATACAGCAAACTGACAAAGAGTGATGTACAAAGTAGAAGAATGTTCCTCCAAATATAACAACATTAGTCTCACTTATTACACCTTAAACTTATTAAAAATACACTTTTCACACTTTCAATCATCAGAGAATTTAACACACATACACAGGGTGGTGAGGGGAAGCTCTGAAGTTAACTATTTTTTTTAGAAATGCTCACCGTTCAGAAAACCCAAACCTCTCGCTACCCAGCCAGCTTACAAACATTTTACTCCTATCAGAAATCAAGATGTACTGAGCACCAGTGTGCAGAGAAATGTGAAAAGGAACCTTCATGCTCGTCAGGCGTTTTACCATGTGAAGTCCCTTTTCCTAAATCCTTGTTCTCTTTTTCTTTTCTTCTCCTCCCTGCCCAGCCCTCATAACCCTTTCTCTCCCCATTCCTTAAGTCTGCTATACGCTCATCAATGCACACTAAGCCTGCAGTCTTCCCTAGTGAGAGGAGATTCTTAGAGGAGCACTAAAGAATGTAGCGTCATTCTGGTGTACGAGGGTTACTAGTAGCCATGGAATACGTGCAAAAGGACTTGGCTACAATCCCTGAAAGCAGGCAAAGAATACCAAGAAGGGATGGGACTGAAAGCAGTCTCAGACTTCCTGGAGCATGTACTGTACCAACATGAAAGGGATTGGGAAGTTCTCTGTTAAACAAAGACTATTCTAAAGTTCTTGATAAGGGTGTTAAGAGTGCAGTAAGACCTTGTTCTGAATACAAAGATGTTTTCTTGAAAACTGTTCATGCCTATCTATGTTTTGTGTCATGTTACCTATGCTTTGCTCCACATGTTTAAATATTTACCCACTTTGTGAGATCATGCTTTACTGTAAGCTTTGATTTTCTGCTAATAAAAGGAGGGGCTTCTCAAGGGAGCTCTGGTGGCCTAGTGGCAAGAAGCTGCACTGCAACCCCAGAGGCACGTGTTTCAAACCCACCAGATATTCTGCTGGAGAAGGAGGGGCAATCTCCTCCTGTACCAGTCAGATTCTATTTGACTGTACACACACACAAACACACACAAAATAATAAAAATAAGAAAGGAGGGGCTTCTCAATCTCTCAACATCATTTGCCTGAGAAAGCGATGACCCCCTGAAAACCCACGTTTCTTCTTGCTGGTCTTAACTCTGCGAACACAGACACAACAAAAGAATTTTCCTCTCACCTTACGGTCTCAAAAAACGAATGCTCAAATTTGTCTAGATTTGTCTACCAAGATCATTCCAAGCAGGAGCAGAGCTATTTACTCCCCTTTGGAGCTCTCACTCAAGTCTGTTGTTGTTCTTAGGTGCTATCAAATTGACTACAACTCATAGGAACCCTATGAACAACAGATCTGAACCAGGTCCTATCCTGTACCATTCTCATCATCTCTGAGATGCTCAACTCCACTGGTACAGTCACCGTGTCAATGCATCTTGTAGAGTCTTCCTCTCTTTCATTGACCCTTTTCTTCTCTAGCATGATCGGTCCAAAGACTGGTCTCTCCTGACAATATGCTCAACGTGAGATGAAGTTTCACTGTCCTTCCCTCAAAAGAGCACTGTGTTAAGACAAATTTGTTTGCTCGTTTGGCAGTCCATGCGATACTCAATATACTTCCCCACCATCACAATTCAAGTCGATTCTTCTCACTGTCCAACTTTCAGACACACAGGAAACAAACGAACTACTGACTCAACACTCTAGTCCTGGTAGCTTCAAATCTACACTCCCAGACCTCCTGCTTTCTCAGGACGCGTCTGGGGGATTGGCCAGCAATCCAAATGAACATGTAAAGATGAATGCCACATCCTTCTTCCCACTCACCCTGAAGGAACCAGACGTGCTGATTCTTTTTTACAGAAGCATGTCAGAGCCCCAAACCAGACATTCACTGTCCCAAATTACTCATTCCTCTACACACCACCTCTTTGAGAACTATCTCGTCAATGTTAGAATAGTTTTTCCTTCAAAAATAAACCCATGAACTGACCTTCTTATTCCCTCCTTCTTTATTTTGACACATTCCAGGATTAATCTTCTTTTGATATTTATAATCTTTGCTTAGAAATCATCCAAAACTTTTAACGTCATATAATAAAGAGTAAACTCTTAAAGCTAGTATTGAAAATGGCCATAAAATTGTCTCCTATTTCTGTCTCTTATTTACTGTCCAGTAATACTCTGTGTACATGGCCAAGAGGGACCAGTCCTTGGACACCATGCTTGGAAGGGTGGAGAGACAGCACAAGAGAGGAAAACTCAGTGACTGGAGAAATGGGATTAGGTCTGTTGGAGACAATAAGATTAGCTCAGGATAGGGCAAGTTTCAGAGCTAACATACATGAGGTCACTATGAGTCACAGGGGACTTGATGGCACATAACAACATTTGTCAATCTGTGTTACTCAGAGTTACAGGAATGCTAATTTTACTTTTTTTAATGAATTGATTATTACACATCTTCCTCCCCCTCCCAGTCCACTTTGCAATCCACGTCCTGTTCCAGATTGTTGTCATCCATGTAACATCTAATTATATATTCCTTTCAGATAGTCCTTCCTCTCATCTGTTCCAGGGTAATGCTCATTATCCATCCACTCTTTCCATATTCTCCCCTCAACTCTCTGGAATGCTAATTTCAATGAAGGAAAATGGTTCAGAGATAGAAAAAAGTTGGATTGGATTAATGTGTCCAAGGCCTCCATCTCATTTAGAACTTCTGTTTGGCAGCCGTTTAAATATCTGATACATAAATCTTTAATTTTTAATCTTTGCTTAACAAACAGAAGCACTAAAATGCCCATCAACAGAGGTCCTGCCGTACTATGCACTGTATAACTTAAGAGAATATAAATCTATAATCAACAGTAAGTCTATTAATACAATATTCATTTTCACTATGATTGAAAATAAAAGGAATGAATGGTGTGAGAAATTATTCACAAATAACTGGAAATTCACAGAAAAGCCAGCATATGGGCTAAAAAAATTTGAGAGAAGGGTGCAGGTCCAGTGAAGTCCAGGAGAATCAATATACAAGAATGAAGGAATTTCATAAATAAACAGCAGAAATTTTTAAAAAGTTATAGATGAAAATATAGATAAAAGTCACATATATAACCATAACCTTACAACCAACCTGGTTATTCTCTGTCTCCCAGTGAATCACTTGATAATCAGATCCTCCAGAAACTAAGTCAGTAGAAGGAGCTGAGAAGGGGGGGAAAAAGTTACATTTTGGTAAACATTTTTAAGGTTTTTTCCCCTAGATACATTGAAAAAGTTCAAAACTACAGAAAAACTGTACCCACATGTCATTTAATTATACTCACCAACGATTAATATTTTGACATAAATATATTTATGTCGTACTTGCTCTAGGTCCATACCTATATACATATATACTCTTTCCTCCCCAACCATTTGAGAGGAAGTTACAAACCTGATGATCTCTGATCCTCAAATGCTTTGCTCATACCTCATAACAACTAAGACATTGTCCTGCATTACCACGATCTAATTAACACATGCAAGAATGTTAGCATTGACATGAGATTACTATGGAAGATAGTCTATCACAATTTTCCCATTTGTCCTAATAATGTATTGACCTCACACCTCCCCCTTTTGATCTATAATCTAACTAAGGATCTTGCATTGTTCAACTTTAGTTTCCTTTGATCTAAAACAGTTCTCAGTTCTTTCTCACTTGGTGACATTAAGAGTCAAAGACTGTGGCTTTGCAGATGTCCTTCAGTTTGGATTTGTCAGATTGTTTCCTCATAATTCAATAATAAAACAATTTCATTAGTTTTTACATACAAAAGTGAAATATAAGCCAATCACTTCATGTCATTTTTCTGTGTAAAGGGAAAATGAAATACACAAACCTAGTGTTCTTATTCAACTTATAGGCCTAGAAAGGCACAAGATGTGCAAAGTTTGGATCTGCTGTTCACAGGGTTGCTACAAGTCATGGCTGACTAGACAGCACCTGATTAACATTAGGGTGACATTAGGCCATAGCCTCAGAAGTTCCACCAGACTCTAACAGCCCAGTTAGCCTGGTCTTTCATAATTTTGAGGGTTCTCCCACATTTCCCTTTTCTTTATCCAGTATTTGTTCCATTGGTCTCTTTCAGAGAAGAGAGCAGGGGTAGTCAGATACAATGTAGTTTTTCTAGTCTCAGGGTTGTAGAGGCTGGGTCCATCAATTAATTCTATGGACTCATTGGGTTGGGTTTTTTTTAATATGTTAGATTTTCTTCACTCTTCTTTTCTGTGCTTGGGGAGACAATAATAATGTACCACTCACAATTTTTAAGGACCCTGGTAACTATGTACCAAAGCAGGATGCAGAACACTGCCAGCTGGTCTTCACTGAGATTATGGTCCTGGGCCTTTTAGACCCAACAACTCATTCCCTCAAGGTCTTTATATAGCCTTGCCCCCGTATATGCCCTGTATATCCATGGAGATAGCTGCAACATATATACAAACATCCTGTCAAAACTATGTATCGTTCACCATACATGAACGCAATCACTCTCACAGGTTAAGTTCTAGGCTAGGGAGAAGAAAACCATTTCTTATTTTAATCGTTTGTGATCACATCTCAACTAGAGTTGGCTCTCTAAATCCCCGGGTTCTAAATCCAGAAATTCAACTGACCATGGATCAAAAATACTTGAGAGGGGAAAAAATTCCATAAAGTAAAACCTCCATCTGCCCTTCCAAGTACTACACTCCTGCTTAGCATGCATACCTATGTGTCCACTCGGATTTTTACTCCTGGCACTGGAGAAGGGTGTCACCTTTGTTGTCTTAATTCCTGTAACCCCCTCCCAGTGTTTTCCTCCACCTTGATCATTGGTATTGACATCCTCCTACTGAATATTGGCTTTCACTTCACTCAAGTTCATAGTCTGTGTTCACCTTCTAGTTAGAGATTTACCCTCATTCTCCCTCCACTCCTGGTAACCTTCAAAATTGTTTCTAAGCAAATCTTTTCTTGTGGGTTGTTTTTCTTCATGTTTCATATGTTTATTATTGGAAGCAGGACTGGCATCCAATTCCTAAATAACATGCCTCCGGAAACCCTATGAACTTAAGATAAATGTTGATGATTGTAGAGGGGCTTCAAGCTTTTTGTTCACAAGGTCACTCTGAGTCATGCCTGACTTGAAGGCAATCAACAACAACATATATTTATCACTTAATGTAAATTCTAACACAATATACTGATGTGGTTTCGTGAACCACATTTAGGGAAGAAACGTATCTTGGTTAAGCGGGAAATTGTGCAGATGGCTTCTGAAGACCTTCCTTCTAAGTGGCTTTATAGAAAAGAATTTCATGTATAAGTCAGGCTCCTTTTTCTATTCTTGGACTTTTTATAGTAGCAGTCTGATACAAACCATCTGTCTTTTTGTGACTAATTTCATTCAGCATACTGTCTTCCAGGTACATCCATGTTATGAGATGTTTCACATATTTTCCCTTTTTGTATAGCATTTCATTGTGTATGTACTATAGTTTTTTCATCTATTCATCTGCTGTTATATAGAAGTTATTAATTCAATCTTTTTGCTATTGTGAATAATGCTTCCACAAGCATGGGTATGCATATTATCTGTCCATGTCTTAGCTCTCACTTCTCTGGGATAATGCAGAAAAATTATTTTAGGGTACTAACATTTTTATTTATACTTACTAATCATCTAAAAAACTAAGTCATAAATTTTTAAACTATGTACTCATTAACAGATTTAAAAATAACAAGGAACTCCATTATGTATTAATTAAAATAACATTTAACGTTAGTTTTAAAACTTTGCTAAAGCGAGCTCTGGTGGCCTAGTGGCAAGAAGATACACTGCAACCCCAGAGGTGAGCGGTTCAAATCCACCACATGCTTTGCTGGAGAAGGAGGAACAATATCCTCCTGTACCTGTCAAATCTGATTTGAAGGTATACACACATACACAAATAATAAAAATAAAATAAAATAAATTTTTAAAAAAACTTTGTTAAAAAACAAAGTTCTTAAAAAGCTTACATATTTTACAACAAAGTAAAAAAATTAATGCAAAAAAAAGAGCTTCAAATTTCTGAAAATCTCTGAAATCTGACTATAATAAAATACAGCTAAATTCTCCTATCTTTTTCTATATTTACTCTAAATGTCACATATTAAGTTTCCTGAACAATGACAGGTGAAAATAGTAAATAATTTTTTGCTATTACTATGAAAATAATTTCAACAGCATGAACCTCATGTTATCCTTGGATCCAATCCTGTTTTCAGTTTTCAGAAATATTAAAGTGTAAACTAAAGTAAAAAAAAAAAAAGTTGCCATGTGTTGTCCAAAAGAAGCAAAAGCTTATTCCATGGCAGAAAATGGACAGAAAAGCCAAGTGTTGTGAATCCCAACCCTTGTTCCAGCATAGAGCCCTACTTCAAGGCCTTCAAACGTTATCCCATGTCCATGGGAAAGGTTATCTTGCTAACTAACAGTCAAGGGCTGTCTCCAGCCTCATCCTAAACTCTGCTGTGTTATCAACTGGGTAATTTCTAACATAGTTTCAATTCTGGACAAAAAAACACTCTAAATATCACATACTTTATGGGTTCTACCATTCACTTGTCTACTTTGTATTGGCGTAGTGTCAAGTCAAATCAAGATATGAGACTGTTAAATTAAGCATGTATTCTGAGGTAAGTGACTACCTACACAGAAAACACTGAGATCAACTTTCACAATCAGGTTAATACTCACAACCATCCTGTTTGCAAATCCACTGTACGCAATTGACTCGCTCAGTGTGACCATTCAGGTTGGTGATAACCACTCTTTTCTTTAAAGAAGAAAATACCAATTAACAAATTAGAATTTATCCCATAGAGGAATTAACACATTTATAAAATTAACAGGTTTTTCATCTTTGAGGATCAGACCTACTTCACACAGAATTTCCTTAATTTAAAATACTTTAATCATGTCTTCAGCAGCCACTCATCTGCTGAAACTCATTCCTGCTTTCCGCCAAAGGAACTCTCAGCTGCCTGACCCCTGCTCATCTTCCCCCAGGGTCCACAGCCAAGGCGGACAAGGCGCCTCTTCCTCATGTTTCACGGGCTCCAGGGCCCACCATCCTTGCACCAACATGAGCATTCTGCTTTAGAGAATCCCACTCAAAAGAGACATCTATGATTATTGTTTTAATTAAAGGATAACTTAAACTACTTTTCATGCGATGGTTATTCAGATGGTGGTGTATTCTGTGGAAATGACTGTCTACCAAAGTCCTTACACATCAGACTGTCACAGGGTCTAAGGCCAGGCTCCCAAGAAACACTCAGCCTCCTGCTCTTACCGACTCCACCACATCCTTGAATTTTCTTTATTTCATTCCCTGTTAAGATATTAACTCTGTGAATGCTGCGCCTATCTCTTTGTAGCCCTTTTCTCTACTTAATGCTAAAAGCAATGGCTTCATATTTGCTTGCTTATCAATTAAAACTCTCATGAGAAAAAGGTACCCAAGGACAAAAGTATATAAATTATTTCATTCTCTCTCCCACTAGTTGAGATCTCCTTGACAGGAAGGAAGCATTGTTATCCATTATCTTTGTGTCATCATTGGCAGCCTGCAAAAGGGTCCTTAAAATTCTGCGCAGTGAACATTAACCCCAAAATTCAGCACATGACATGACCATATTACCAATTTAGTAACCAGCCGGCAAGCATGTTGCAGAACAAATTTAAGCTCAATACACTTTTTTGTTATGTTAAAACACCTTGAAATGGTCATCTAGTCATCATTAAAATTAAAAATGTGCAAAAGCACAAATCCATTAAAATTCCTAGAGGCCTTTTCTCCTGTCTTGAAGGGGGATGTAACTTTCTAATAAAGCTTTCATTTCCCATTTACTCTTTGAAAAAAAACCCAACAAAACTGCTACAGAAAGATGGCATTTCTATAGTTGAGTCAGTTTTGAGCTGATGGTCATTAGAAAGCTAACCGTGTATGATGTTTCCTCTTGTTAGGCAGTAATACCTGGCAGATTCCAAAATTCAGAACAACTCATAAAAAAACCAAAAATCTGCTGTAAGTAAAAGTGTTACTAATGCCTGGATAAAATTCCCAAATAAGAACAGTATTGTTTAACCAAAACAAAACAAAACCAAAAAACAAAGACTGCCAAAAAATGCTATTGCTGAGTCAAAGAAATCCCTCAAAGGCCTGCTGTTATTTTTATGTGCCATTGAATTTGAACCAACTCAAAGCTGATGGATTCGAACCATACGCCTTTGGCAATACAAAACTCCTTATCACTAGGCCAGGAGCAACATGCTATTTATATAGTATTTAGGGAGCTGTGGTGATGCAATCCACAGGCAGTTGTGCTGCAAACTCAAAGGTCATGCCTCTCCTGTGGTCTGTATCCACAAGCAGCTCTGGGAAAAAAAGATGAGTAAACAATCTCCTGTGCAATTTCCAGTGCCACTGGAGAGTTGGTCAGCTCACAAATTAAGGACACATGATTATTGTGTCCATTCCAAATAATCATCACTATGAGACCAGTCAACAATTACTTTAAATCTACCAGACGCTCTGCCGGGAAAGGAGGGACAATCTCCTCCTGTACCAGTCAGATCTGATTAGATGGTACACTCACACAAAAATAATAAAATTTTTAAAAAAAACACCACAATTACTTTAAAGTGAAGATCAGAGTATAAAAGCAGAAGGGAAACTAGATTAGTGTGGATGGAACCAGAATGGACATACTGAGGATTTGCAAAGAATGTAACCAATGTCATGGAATAATTTTCACAGAAACTGTTGAGTGAGAAGCTAAACTACTGTGTGAAATCTTCACCAAAAACTAGTGAACTTTACTCATTGCCTCGGAGCTGGAACAGATCTATAGCTGACCCTCCAGCAAGTTTTCTAGGTCTGTAAATCACATAGGAGGAGACTGCTCATCTCTTCCCCTAAGGGAGACACCCGATTTAAACTGCCAGAGAGGCAAGGCCTTTGGGCTAGCACACATGCACAGTAAGGAGTTACCTGAGGAACAAGGATCTGAGGTTGTGATTCAAAGGGAGCAGGACTGGAACCAGAGGCCAGAGGGGCCTTACGAATACACCAAAGGCTTGCCACCACCTCCCAGACTTCCTTGCACCAGGGTCCATCTTAGGGTTGAGGGTGTGCAGAGGAACATGGAGAACTGCAGCCATCTGACTCAAATTGTTAAAGCACCTAAACTCAGGGATCTCTGGTGGCCTAGTGGCAAGAAGCTGCACTGCAATCGCAGAGATA